CAACCAGCGGTCCCTTCATCGTGAAGTTGAACTTGCATTGTCTGGAGTCGAATATCCTTCGCTGTGAAGTTGAAATTGGCTCCGAAATTAGGAAATTGTTTGTTGACAACCAGCGGTCCCTTCTTCGTGAAGTTGAACTTGCGTTGTCTGGAGTCCAATATCTTTCGCTGTGAAGTTGAAATTTGTTCCGAAATTGGGAAATTGTTTGTTGACAACCAGCGGTCCCTTCGTCGTGAAGTTGAACTTGCATTGTCTCGAGTCCAATATCCTTCGCTGTGAAGTTGAAATTGGCTCTGAAATTGGGAAGTTGTTTGTTGACAACCAGCGGTCCCTTCGTCGTGAAGTTGAACTTGCGTTGTCTGGAGTCCAATATCCTTCGTTGTGAAGTTGAAATTGGCTCTGAAATTGAGAAGTTGTTTGTTGACAACCAGCGGTCCCTTCGTCGTGAAGTTGAACTTGTGTTGTCTGGAGTCCAATATCCTTCGATGTGAAGTTAAAATTGCCTCTGAATTTGGGAAGTTGTTTGTTGACAACCAACCGTCCATTCGTTGTGAAGTTGAACTTATGTTGTCTCGAGTGGCACGATATCCTCCGTCGTGGAGTTGAAATTGGCTCTGAAATTGGGAAATTGTTTATTGACAACCAGCGGTCCCTTCGTCGTAAAGTTGAACTTGCGTTGTCTGGAGTCCAATATCCTTCGTTGTGAAGTTGAAATTGGCTCTGAAATTGAGAAGTTGTTTGTTGACAACCAGCGGTCCCTTCGTCGTGAAGTTGAACTTGTATTGTCTGGAATCCAATATCCTACGCTGTGAAGTTGAAATTGCCTCTGAATTTGGGAACTTGTTTGTTGACAACCAGCCGTCCATTCGTTGTGAAGTTGAACTTATGTTGTCTCAAGTGGCACGATATCCTCCGTCGTGGAGTTGAAATCGCGGATGGCCACTTCGTTGTGAAGTTGAGCCTTGACTTGAATATCCTTCGTCGTGAAGTTGAAATCCAAGTATTGTATGTTGCGGGTGGACACAATTCCCTTCACCGTGAAATTGAAACCATGGAGACCCCTTTATTGTGAAGTTTGGCTTCGAGCTAGATATCATTCGTTGTGAAGTTGAAATCCACTCTCGAGCAAATTGTGTTGTTTCGAGAGAAACTTTCAATCTGTCGAGTTGGTCGAAGTGTAGCTTCTTGCTGCTGAGTTAAGCAACCAACATGAATCTTTAAAGGTGCTTTTGAATCGAGTATCCTTCGGCTTGAAGTTGAAACTTGACTCTAAAAGCTGCAAAAAAATATGTATGTGGAAAATGATAAATATGATGCTCTAAAATGTATGCATAAGATGCATGTAACATGAATTGGTTATATTTTATCTCCTGAAAAAGGTCTGATAATTTGCATTATGATGTTGAATCCCCAAATGATGCCCTAATATCCAAAAATGCCCCAATATTTGATGTTGAATCTCTAAATATGCCCCAAATGTTCCTCATTTCTTGCTTCAGCATTGATTCTGAGCATGAGTTTTGTGTCTAAGAGTCACATGTCATTTACCAAGATCCACTCTAGAGAGACTGTCTTGTTTGAAAAAAAAGTTTTTCTTTCTCTTTTATTTTCAAAGTTATGAAAATATCAATAAAGAGTTTCGAAAAATGTTTAATCAAAAGTTTTGAAAATATTATCTCTTTCACGGTTTTACATTTGAGACGAATCATAAAACTAGAGTTCATTGGATATCAAATGTTTAATTACAATGTTAATCCTTCAATAAATTATAGCTATTTGACACGTGCCAATATCAAAGCTATCTTTGGGAAATGGTTAAGTAAGGAAATGATAAAAAGGTCTCAGGTTATTGTGTTTGGTCAAAGGTTTAGCATTTGATGCTCAAAGGTTTGATGAGGTAGCTTGCATGCTCCTTTACTGGAAGTGTTCTCCGACTCCCAGCTTTCATAGTCACATTTGGATTGTGCGATGTCTTATCAAGGAATTTGTATGATCGCCTCAGTTGCACAATTTTTATATTCGAGCCGCTTTTTCAGGTTTTCAACTCGAATCCTCCTTTGGTTTCAAGACGTTATTCAGGATTTACGTCTTGAACCCCCCTTTGTTATTTTTCTCTACCATGCATTAATTACATTGTTTTTTGCAAACAAATATTAATCCTGATGGGCGGGATGAAATCTGAAGATATTCTCTTCTGTTTAGAAATCCATGTATGATTAGAAGAGACTATTAAGGCACGTAATGTAGGCCAGGGTTCATGGTTATGAAAGAAAATGATAAATAGTCCCAAACAAGTGTTTCAGGGTATTGAACCAAGGATCAATTCATTATGATGCCTTCAATCTTACTCAAAATGTTTCTTTCTCTTGATGCTCTATGATCTTCGAGTGAAGTGATTTAGTGATTCGAGAATGATTGTGCTTGTTCAATCTCATAGTTTGAAGCTTGATGTACCATTTGTCTTTAAAGAATTTTTGCATGTGCTTTTTTGTCCCTTTTTCTTTTTATTTTTGTTCTTTCTTTTTTTTTCTTTTTCTTTTTTGCTTCTTTTCTTTTTTATTTTTGCCTTTTTTCTTCTGATTGAATCTTCGCACTTGGCATTTGGTTCACCTTTTGGTATCTCATCTGAATCAATGTCTTCGCTCATGTGAGCATATTTCTTCCACCTTGCCCCCTAGTGTGGAGGGTGGTCCTTGGTTAGGGTTGAATCATAAGAAAAATACTACAGGCTCAAAAGGGGACACAAGGGATATATTTTTTCTCTTGTTGTGAAGGGATAAAGAAAGAAAGTCGTTCATCATTTCATACATGTAAATCTTCACAGAAGAGGTATCCCTAGGGGGATAGATTTTCAAGATTAATTCTATTCACATGAAAACAGTGTAATTAATGTATGATAGAATTATTTCGAATGAATTCTTCTTCTTTTTTCCCAGATGTCTCAATGTTCAGGCTCCTCGCGAGATGCCCCAAGTTGGTTCTTTAGAAGAATGCTCATGTTAAAATGAACAACTCAATGCCTTGGGTTTTAATGGTAAGAAAGGTTATTTTTGAGTCTAAAAAATATAGTGGTGTGATCTTATTGACTCATAGAAAGGTATGAGTGTATCAAAAAGATAAAGGCAATGTTCAAGAATTTCAAAAGGAGGTAATGTCAAAATTTTGTCTTTTGGTAATGACCACGAGTTGTTTTGGGCAAAGAATCAAGGTATTTTATTCTGTGGTTTGAGACAGGGTAAGAAAGGTCTAATCTTTCCATATGTCAAAAATCTATAATTCTTGAAGAATTAAAAGAATCATTAATTCATTTAATATTCGAATAACTAAAGATTAAAATTTGTTCAATTGCTCCACCTTAGAAAGCAGCATAAATTCAATCATTTAAAAGATTAAGAAAACATGAAAGATCAAAGACGTGTTCAAACAAAACAATCCTATAAGTGCAAATGGTATATGCCATGCCCCCTTCTTCGGCAAGCGCCTTACAGTTTTCAGAGGAATGTTTGGGGCTTCTTATGTGGTAACAGCTAACAGCTTCAACATCGTAGCCCTTAGGATATGTGGATTATTTTCTTAGATCATCCTGGCAGACTTTGTCCTACAATCAGCTGATCAGGCTCCCACTGTATTATTTTCAGTTTTTTCTTTTGATGTTACAATCTTGCTTCCATGTGGTGTCATGTGGTTAAAACCACTTCATCGAATCCTCCATGAAGAAATTTCATGCTTATGAAAATGCTTAAAAATGAAATGTAGATGCACAACGCAAAATGAAAAAAATGCATGAAATGTTCGAGGCATTGATCCTGAAAAGTGCCCATTATTATAAATAATCCTTATTTCGACAAAAATGTTTTATCTTGTAAGAGACATAAAAACAATCAAAGGTACATTCAGACTAAATCCTCTAGACCCCGAACAGCTTCCAGCAGGTTGACAAATCTTCTGTTTTCATCTGTCACTAGTTGTATGCCTTGTTGGACCACTCCAACTTCCCTTGCCAGGCCGTGTAGATGGCGAGTTGCCTTCTGTACTTGATCTAGGAAATCTCGGATGACTGCGTCTCTGGCTCTCACCCTTTGTTGTGCTTGCTCCCAACGGAAACGCCACTGCAAACCCCGTCGAAGGGCATTATCTGAAGCTCACTCGCTTGCTTTTTGAAGCTATTGTTTTACCATCTTTCTCATGTTGTTTCTCTAGATCAGTCATTTGGATTCTCAGGCGTTGAATTCTTAGCAGTTATCCTTGACTTTATCTTGGTACCCCTTTCTCAAGTCTTCAAGCTCAAAATAGACTCTTTTCTGCTCCCTTTCCAGTTTGTCTGCTCTATCTTTCTGAGAATCGGCATCTAGTTTCCATTGATAACGTTCAGCTTCAAGTTCCTTAACTCTCTGTTTCAACTTATTATTCACAGCTTCAAACTCTGCCTTGACTATCTCAAGTTCAGAAGGGACAGGCCTGAGATGTTCCTCCATGGTCCGGGTGTCTTCACAATCTGGCATCGGGATGCTATCATTCTTTCTCAATCTTCGCCACTCCATATAATCCGGAGTAAGCATATCTCTGGCAGCCACGACATCCATCCGATATACTTTCTTCCATGACTCGACTGCCTCTTTGATCATCTTCTTTTAACTGTCACTGTGATACACAAACTATGATGTAGATAATTCGTATGTTGCTGGGATAAACTGACGTGCCCCATACTGTCTAAGTGCCAACAACAGAGCATACCCAACTGCACCCCAAAGTCCAAATAAGGTCATAGTGTCAGAATCCTCAAATCAAAAAAAAACATCACTGAGGAACAACCAGGGGGCTCTCCAAGTAATATCCCGGTCCTGAAAATGAGTGAAGACCTTCATCCATTCTTCCTTCGAAGCGCCTTCATGCCATTTCATAGTGATGAACTCTCCCAATGGTGAATAGGTAGTGCTGAATCGGTGGTAGGCAACTCCGTTAGTCTTCCAGAAGTGGCTGTGAATCCAGACTTGAAGGAGATGAACACATCCAATGAACCTTCCTTCACCAGTTCTTCTATAATGATTAAGAGACCGAAAGGTCTCGGCTAAGATGGTCGACGCTGGGTTGACTCGCCTTGGAAGTTGTTCAAATAGTTCTACTACGGCTGCATCGATGCACCCCAAGGTCTTCGGAAATATAATCAAACCGTACAGACCCAGTGCAAAAAGATCTATAGACTTCCATTCATCAGGGTGATTCTTCATTAGTTGTTTTATATGGATCCACTCGATTCCTTCCCCGCTACCTTTGTGTCGGAGTCGATCAGTCACCCACTTTTCATCAACCCCTGCAATCTTGGTCAGTCCGTTCTTAAAAGGCTGACCCTTGATATGTTTGATATATGTCTTCTCTAGTCTGATGCTTTCGCAGTGCAGTAGTGTGGTATACTCTTCGATAGTGGACACCATGTCCTCCCGGTTAAAGGTGAAGCAACTATATCTCGGGTTCCAGAATTGAATCAGTGCTCGGAGCAGGGGCTCATCAGTTTTGACATGAAGTAAGAGGGCAATATCACCATATCGTTGGTTGAACTTCTGCTTTCTGTCATTCTTCCAACTGTCCCAAATGTTTTGCAACTTTTGGACATCATTCTGTTTCAGGCTGACAGAGGCATAGCTAAACAGCTCTGACACGTAGTTCCCCTGAAGACTGTCTCCCTTCTCTTTCTGAGTCATCTCGAACCATAGTCGTGCCTCGACGTTCTTAATCTCTTGTATTACAACACCTTTGTCCATTAATTCAGATTATTTTATGTGTAACAAACGCTTTTTAAGGATCAATAGCCTCTTATTATGATGCAAATGCTAAAAAAACAAACACAAATGCATAAATTTAGTAAAATAAATAAATAAATAAATAAATGACGAAAGGGAAAAAAAAGAAATGATTAAGGTAAAAATATCCTAGGTTTTGGAAATGTGGTTTCGGGGTAGGCTCTAATTCTCCATAGTCTCTCAGTTTAGGTTCTAAAAACGGTACCCGAGTTATCCTTGCCGATGCCCCATTGGGCTTGCCGGTGCCCCCTTGGGCTTGCCAGACCCTTAGCCCTAAACTCATCACAGGCTTGTGTGGACTAAGTTATACTCGAGGGGACACATTCCCTTATGCCCGCACGGTGAATAAATTCACACGAAGACATAAGGTATATGAATCCCAAAGGCTACTTGCTATGCCCGCAAGATGAATAAATTCACACGAAGGCGCCGCTTTCACCCCACTTAAAGCAGGGTTTGGAGCTCGGGTTTAGAGCCTTAGATGAAAAATCAATGAAATGCTCTTGGAAGCTTGCAAATTTGGATGTGTCATGTTGTGGTCGTTGCCTATATCGTGATTGATAAATTGATCAACGATTGAAGAGAATGTGTGATAGTGGTTAATGATCTTGGTCCGGTTTTAAATGTTAAGTAGTTGTTTAGAACATTTCTTGGTTGTTTAACTAGACGTCCATTCATAAGGTATCTCAAAATGAAGTTCTGGTCAGTGGCGGTTGTAACGATCAGAAGATGATCCACTGGTTTGCTGACTCCTATCATTGAAGTGGGGATTTGAGATTTTTTTTGCAGTATAAACTATGCTGTTCTATTATGGTGGTATTTTTCTTTTATTAGATCTGACTATTCAACATTGCCTTGTTCCTTTTCAAAATTCTTTAAGGGTTCACTTTCTGCTGCAACGCGTGCTGCTGCTTTTGTCCGAGGGGATGATGTTATTCACAAGCTATTTACTGAACTGGCATATCGATACAAGTGAATTCTCTACCTGTTTCTTTTCTATTTACTTTAATGTCATATTGATTCAATCATTTGTGTTGCAGAGACAGAGCAGGTGGATATACTAGATTGCTTCGAACTCGCATTCGAGTTAGTGATGCTGCACCAATGGCCTATATCGAGTAAGACTATCTATTTGCTAACTGCAAGCTCTTTGTTGAAAATTAGCTGAACTAGATCAGTTAATTCAGTCTGCAATTGAATAAAATTGAAATTTTAAGGCTCGTAAGCCGTATTGAAATCGATCGATTTTCTTTCGATGTTCATTTGCATGTTTCAACTGTGCTCATAAAATTTGCATGTTGATAAATCAAAGATAAGGGTCATCTTTCATTTTGATGATGTTCTTGCACATTTGAACATGTTTATTGACAGAGAAAACGAACTTAGGCAGTCTAAGCCACCGACTCCACCACTGCCGCCAAGGCCCGCTCTTGATCCGTGGATAAAATCACGGCTTAGCAGGCAGTTTGCGCCCTCTAAAGAGGAGAAAAGCTCCGAATCCGAGATATAATCTGCTGCCCCTAGTCTCGGTGTTTAAACAACTTGAGTTTGCTTGATTATATTACTTTTAATTATTTTTTAGTTGAATAAGACATTATACCCCTTTAAGTAAAGATTAAAGAGTTTGAATTTTGATATTATGAATTGGTATTGTGAATGGAGAAATCTGAGTTAGGATGGTTGTCCTTATATTGGATATTTACAGGATTCTATTCATATTAGTCGATCATTAGTTCAGATATTGATGTTGTTATCAAAAAAATAAATTTATTATCTAAGACCCCTAATGTTTAGTAACATTCCAATTATATCCAAAGTCGACACAAGCTAAGGAGAACAAAATTCTCAAACAGATATTTTTTTCTATCCACAACACTCGAGTTTATAAATATTTTGCATTAGTAAGAAGATGGTGTTAAAATATTTTTAATATATTATTTGAGATTATTATTTGATACATAGTTTTTATTTTAATTAAATCAAATAAAAAATACATGAGTTAATTGCACAAGGGATACTTAAAAACTATTATCATATATGTCTCTAAATTTTAAAACATTCTATATTGATTTTTAAAATCTGACCATTATTCTAAATTAATTTATAAATTTTAAAACATTTTATATCAATTCTAAAACTACCAATATTATTTTATTTTGATCATTTCATAAAAGTATCATTAAATATATTAACTTTTTTAAAGATCTTGAGAAATAAACCCGTAACTTAAAAAAATAAATTATTTTTGAAGGTTTTGAGAATTTAAACAAAATGCATTTGAAATGATAATATAAGGATTGATATGAAATATGTTAAAGTTTAGAAATCAATTTAGAATAAGTTATATAAAAAAATTAAAATTTATAGACCAATTTAAAATGATAGTAAAAAATTGGGGACATACACTTATCTCAAAATATATATTTAAAAAGCAGACGTGGCGAACTGGCGATCCTAAACACAAAAAAGTAGCTGCATACCCAGCACAAAGCGCAAGTCAGGGTTTGACAGTACACTCGCGTGCGTAACCAAACCTTATAAAAACAAAGGCAGCCGCCTTTAACCAAACATTAGTAGATGACACGCGCTTATGACAAGTCGTGGGAAAAGTTTAGATACGGGAGGGAACAGAAAAGGTTTGGCGGTAGGCGCTTATGGCGCACGTTTTTCGATTTTCGGCTGAGACAACATTTGAGATCGGTAATTGTCTTCACAGCTGGCAGTTTTTGTCCTAAATACATTACAGCCCGCAACTTCATCACTAAAATCCCTCCTACACAAATATCATAGTCTCCAAAGTATAACCATTAAGATTTTCCCACGTGCTATAAATCATGATCCGATTTGATGAAGCAGACAAAAAATTGTGAAAGAATGACATCAGTGGAAAAAAGCGTCAAATGTTGATAATCGTTCCTCAACTTTGTATTATTGTACAAATTAGTACATAAAGTTGGTAACATTTCTCAAATCGGTACCTAATTTTTATTCTCAAATCGGCACTCAATTCTGACATGACATTTCAACATTCAATCAAGTTATGATATATGAAACTTAATGTTATCAACAATTTAATAGTTCAATGCAATGTTAACAACATAGTTAATCGTTGAGGTAATACGTCAACACAAGTTTAAAAATTGACACAATTGATAGATGTTTGGAGAAAAGATGACTTTATTAGGGATGTTTCAGGTAGGATTGAGTGGATTTGTGTCAAGGATTCGAAGTTTTGTTGTCCATAGGTTTGGATGAGCTTTGGTGAAGTATAGGTTAGATGATAATGGGAAAAGTGTTAGGATTTTGGGCATGGGTCTACTAGGTTTGGTCCTCAAGTTGATCCATATGAAAATGAATATTTACAATTAAGATTGTCATTAAACTTTCTAAATGATTATAAAATGGTAATTAAATTTTATCAAAATATTAAAAATAGTCATTAAATTTATTAAATTATTAGAAAAAGAGTCCATAAGCTTATCAAAATTTATCACTATTTTATAAAGCACAACAACCATTTTGTAAGTTAGATAAAGTTAATGATCATTTTATAACTTCTGATACTTCAATGACCAAAAAGATTGTTTTAACATAGTTTAGTAACCATTTGTGTATTTTACCTTTAATTAAAGTGGGATGACGAATGTTTAATTTCCATCAAGTAGAAGGATGAAGTTCATAGTTAGACATTAGTAAAAGAAGGGTGACGTGGAGAGCAATTACAGATTTACAAGTCCTTCAATCGTCCAATGATTGGGGGCGTTATCTCTTTCTCCTTCTGTGTCTTTATATATACGAATCTAAATTCTCTCTTTCACACGGAAATTCAATCAGCGAAAGCCGCCGGAAAATCTCTTTGTATCAATGGAATTGAGTTCCATTCTTGGGATTTTCTTCTTCTTTTTCCATTAGATTTTGCTTTTTGAATTGAAGAAAAGCTCAGAAAGAAAGAAAGCCAATTAGGCCCAATTAGGCTCTGAAATGTATATGAAGTTTACAGTTCTTCCTCTCATGCTCGTTGGCCGTTGCTGAAAACCAAGTGAAATTCCAGGAAAGGGAGTGGGAAAAAGAGAGATAAACGGATTCTTCATCTGGGTCTGAAACGGAATCAAGAAAAAAATCTGGGTTTCGTTTGGTTTTTCATCTTTTTTTATTATTTTGAGCTGAATTTGAGCTTTTGCAATTGGATTTCAATGGCGGCCCTGAATCACAGAAGCAACAGCCAAATCGAAGTTGAGTTCGTAAAGTGCGATTTTTGCGGGTTAACCGAGGAGTGCACGCCGGCTTACATTGCTAGCGTGAGAGAAAAATTCGAAGGGCGGTGGGTTTGCGGGCTTTGCTCGGAGGCCGTCAACGACGAGACGGTAAAATCGGAGGAGGATATTACGACTCACGAAGCAATGGATCGGCACGCAAAATTTTGCGAGCGGTTCAAATCGTCGAGTCCGCGGGCGAATCCTGCCGAGGAATTGATCTCCGTGATGATACATTTACTTCGGAGGACCCTGGAATCGCCGAGTAAGGAGAATGGGTCATCGCCTACGACGTCGTTTTCTCGATCTAAAAATTGTTTTTCGTCTCTGTCAAATGAAGAAATTAGGACTTAATCATGAGGTTTAAGAAATTAATTATCTATTTTGAATATTGGGTTAGGTAATAAGGCAATAATTCTGTAATGTTTTTAGTTGTAAACAATTGTTCGGAATATGTTAAGAGTTTGTGCTTATAATTTCTTATAAAATCAGTTTTAAGATTTAAATTTAATCTTTTGTAAGTGTATAATACATTTTATTATTACACTCAACACTGATGTTTATAAAGAAAAAAGTTAGTAAATTTGAGATCTAATGTTAATCTTAAACAAAACTTATTAAATTATAAGTTAATAAAGTGATAAATTAATATTTTAGTACACAGTTATGATTCAAATTTTGAATTTTAATATTTTTTAATTATCATTGAATATGTTTAAATTTTTAACACGTTTATATTACCGGATAAATAATTTAAATTTAATATATAAAGATAAATTATATTATTAAACATTTAATGTTTAAGTTATTGTTTGACTTAAACCTTATCGTTGTTATTCATAATGGTGAATAATTGATCATGAAACAATAAGAAGAAAATAAATAAATATTTATAATTTGCGTTAAAAATTGTTTAAAAAAACCCACATATGAGAGAAATTTTACGATTTCGTTAACCAAATAATTCAATCGGGAGAAAAATTTGAAGAAACATGGATGTTTGAGAATTAATTTAGGATCTATATCATTCACTACAGTACACGTGGAATTCATCATGAGAATGACGAGTTTAATAAAATATAATAATTAAAACTTATCTGAGAACATGACGAGCGTTATACAATTTTCTTTAAATCCTTATGATGTATTCTATTTTTTTTAATATTTTATGGAACTAATCATTTTCTCCTAATGTGTTTCACATGCATTGTAACAGATGATATAAGTCCTAAAATAATTTTTTAACATCTATACTTTTAAAAAACAAAATTCCTCCATAGTCTATACTTAAAAATTCACTATATCAACAACAAAATACATACAAAATCCTACCCTAAACCTAGAAGCTCTGAACATATATAATATATTTATAATTGTACATACACTAAAAATCTTAAAACAATATTTTATCACTTGTATGTATTGTATATGTTATTTTTATTTTTTACCACATAAGTTCCATTATAAACTCTAAACCTAAAAGCTGTAAACATATATAATATATTTATAACTGAATATGCACTAAAATTCTTGAAATAATATTGTATCATCTCCATGTATTGTATATCTTATTTTTAATTTTTTAATTTAATTTTTATTTTGAAGTTGAACTAAATAACATTTAAATCACATAATCTCTAACCATGATAGTTTACTTGAAAATTGAAATATTGATACGAATACGATGATCATTTTAAATAAACATAAATCCTGTAAGAAAACGAAAATATCTGGGGATTACCATTGGAGACTGCGACCTTACTAGGCCTTGGCAAATGGTTCATGTTGTCGGTCCATTTGTGTTATGCGTGAACATCGTGGCTACATTTTGGAGAATAAAATATGGTTGGTCCCGAATTTTAAAAAGAACCTATTGGTCCCCATCACTTACCAGCTTTATCATGTGATTTTTTTTTTTATTCATTTTTATATTTTCAGTATATATATTTCTTTTTTTCCTTTTCTTTTTAAAAACATAACCTTTTGGCCCCAAATTTTCCTTTTATCTGAAATAGAAGGTTTCAACGAAGATGATGCATATGACTTTTTTATTGGAGCCGGCAGGTGATTCTGTTATTCAATTCATGGCAGCTCGAGGCAGGATCCGGTGAAAGAGCCACTATTGTCGTAGGCAAACCGGTTTAGGTAAGTGGTCGAGGAGGAAGATGACAGGAGGATTATTGTTTTGGTTAAATTTAAGTTTGAGGTATTGTTAACGCTGTCGATCAAGTCATTCAATATGATATGTTTGCGGCTATTGTTAAAGAAACCAAAAATCGGAAGCTAAAAGTGTTAGAGTATATTGATGTAAAATAGAAAAATAATATTTTTGAATATTAATGACATTTTACCTCTTCTGATTTAAATAAGTAATACTGACAAGAGAAGGCTAAAGCTTTAAAACTCAAAGACCTCGGCCTTAGATTGAAAGAAAGGACAAGGGAAAGGAAAAACATGCCTTCGTCTGAATTATTTATTTATTTATTTATTTTGAAGAGGAATAATTTTTTATATATTTTATATTTTTGGTGTTACGTGACAACAGCAAATAAGTAAATGAAAAAGAGGGAATAAAATATGGTGTATGTTAGTAGACTGGTTAGAGTCTTTTGAGTTGGATAAAGAATCGTTAATGATAGTGATCAGAAAATAGTGAGGCACTAAAAGGTTTCTTTATATATTTTATATTTTTGGTATCACGCAATATCATCAAACAGGTGGGCTAAAGAGAAGGGAGAGGAAGCGTGATATTTGTTAATAAATTAATTTTTTTTTGAATAATATATGACGATTATAAGGTAGTGTATGTTCATAATTTTCTTAATTAATTAATAATACGCAATACATTCTGCAGATGTAACTGCTTTAAATCAATACTTTTAGGGATAACATCATTTCTTCTAATCACCTAGACTATTTAATAAATCCCTTCTAAAACTGCTGATTATCGGTTATTATTTTATTCGACTACTAAATGTAGCCAAATGCATCTGTAAAACCGTTCCTACATGTTGTATTTTTCTAGGACTAAGACACACCAGCCTACTAGAAAACAAGTGTTTGGTACCCAAAAGTCGGACGAAATTTCCAACTTCATCTTGGCAGCCAATAGTAAACTATAGTCTAAGAAAAATGTGAAAAAAACTTTATAATATAAATTAATTAGGTTAAGTGGCCGGCCGTGAGTGGTTGTTGAAAATTCCTATATTATTTTATTGTCTGTATAATATCAAAGCCTATGCAATTTTCTTTACCAACAAACTGTTAGAAAAATTTTCTATTATTATTATTATTAAAATCTTGGTTAGGATTTTGTCTATTTTCAAGCTAATTCATGAACAACTAATATGAAGTTTACGTGTTAGATTGGTCTATATGTCTTGGATTGGTTCGAATTTGAAATTTAACTTATTTGGTTCATATCATCTTTGTTGTGGATTAATTCGAATAGAATAATAAATTGATTTGACCAATTAAGTTAAAATAACATATATTGCACTTTGAGAGAAAAATATATTCAAATTTTAGAAACGATATTATTAGGAGCAAATGCCACAAACTCTGAAAACATTAGTCAGTAGACATCTTTATAATTTTTCAATTAAGTTGACACTCAATTAACTTGTGACACCATAACGGTCAAGAACTTAGTAATAATATATATTAAAACGTAATTAAGTTGATCGATATATGACAATTGGGTGAGACAGTTTTTTGCCTATCCAATCTCGACAGGACGTAATGTAATTATAACGACCCTTCAACTATTATTTTCAATTTTCCAACAAACATATTTGAATTCTTATGTGTCTATATATGTGTATATATATATCTCTGTGTATGTATGTGTATGTTGTTTAACTCATTTTTCTACGTGTTTTTCCTCTATCTGTTTCCTTGACAATATCTACAACTTAAATATGTAAATTCTGGTATAGTCATATGCTACACGGAGATTCGGCATTAGCTACCGAAGCAAGAGGCAATTTGATCCGACTCCGCCAACAGCGACGGTGCAGACCATTATCACCGTTGCAATCCCTATCTTCTTTCTTCGCAAGGAATTCTTTGCTGTCATCGGTTTCAGTAGGCACCACATACACAAATGGTCCAACGAATTCATCGTCGAACCCTTGTACGGATCCCAGGACCTTGACCACATCACCCATCGAAGGCCTCAGTTGCGGGTGGTGGCTCAAGCATTTGTAAGCCAATGTAGCCACCTTTTGAGCCCCCCGGTTGGAAAACTGTCCCTCGAGTTTAGAGTCAATCACTCGGTCAAGCCTCTTGTGGTCCCTCAATAGTGGCCTTGCCCATTCCACAAGGCTTTGCTCCCGACTCGGGCGGATGTTATCCATAGACCGCTTCCCAGTTAACAATTCCAAGAGAACTACTCCGAAGCTGTAAACATCACTCTTTACTGTCAAGTGGCCTGAAAGTGACATAGAAACTTTGGGGTTAGGTTCCATCACATGGTTTGACTTTGGAAACCAATTATTAACATCAACATTAACATCGACATCGATTCAACTTACCGGTCATGATATACTCTGGCGCAGCATACCCTTGCGTCCCCATCACTCGGGTCGTTATGTGCGTCTCTCCTCCTTCCGGACCGTCCTTAGCTAACCCGAAATCCGATAGTTTACAATTGTAATCCTGAAAAGAACCAATGTGTCTCAGTACTTTCATCGAACACTTCGACAAAATATTGAAAACATAGAGCTTATCAAAAGGGCTTACCGAGTCTAATAAGACGTTTGAAGATTTAAAGTCTCTATATATCACTGGTTTATCAGCTTCATGTAGGAAGGCTAAGCCTTTTGCCGCCCCTAAAGCGATTTTCATCCTAGTCGACCATGGCAATGTCCCCGAATACCCTGCAAAATCGACCGAATTAACATTATCAAACAACTCGAACAATATCCAATTAATACTAAAAACAAAGCGTTCAAGTTACATACTTCTGAAGAGTTGGTTCTCTAAGCTTCCTCTCGGCAAGTACTCGTACACGAGGAGCCGGTTCTCGTTTTCGTAACAATAACCGATCAACTTGACCAAATGAGGATGCCTAAGTTGTCCAAGGAATATGATTTCAGCCTGAAAAAGCACAAATTTTAAAATAAAACACTATGAATCAGATCTAATGGACACAAGTTTAGACACTAACCAGCCACTCCCTATGACCCTGCAAGCCATTCAAGTCAAGTGCCTTCACAGCCACAGGCTGAGCCTCTAGCCCAGGCCTAAGCTTGTCGTGGACAAACCCCTTGTAAACCGGTCCGAACCCGCCTTCACCGAGCAGGTTACACCGTGCGAAATTATGGGTTATTAGCCTCAGCTCGGATAAAGTGAAGACGTGAAGATTCGAGCCGATAAGAGACACCGGGAGATCGTCGACACCAATCCGTGAGCTTGGATCAGCGACATCCGAAAGTGATAATCGTTGGAACTGACATGGTTTCAAAACCTTTTTCCCAGTAACAGAATCAACAGAAGACTCCTTGCTCGTGCAACAGATTAATATTAGAGATTTCCATGTAACCTTCTTCACAGCCATTGTGTGTGTGTAAAAGGATTTGTAATAATTTGGGATTTATTTTTTCTGAAGAAACAAACAGAAACAGTCCAAGAAAATGAGGGGGAAATGGAAAAAAATTCCAGGGCCTTGTGGACTTTGGTGAAGGCTAATGAGACTCTTTAAAGTAGTTTCAATGTTTGATTCTTTCACTTACCTACTACTCTTACCACATCCTATGTATATATTAAAGTCTTCAATTATTATTATTATTATTATTATTATTATTATTATTATTATTATTTTCTCTTCATCCAACTTAAACTACAAATGCGAATTTACTTGAAAAATTATTAACAAGAAAAATCACGAATAAAGAAGAATTTTTTTTACTATATTCGGTATAATATCACAAAAATTGAAAATCACATAATCTAAAAAATCCGAAGTACATATATAAGCGTATATACACTAAACCCTCTTTATATACAAGCATGTATTTTTATCATATATTCATATTTTTTCTTAATTTTAATTTATTTATAAATAAATTGTATCGTAAACTTTTCGAGTTAAACGGAATTTGAAGTACGGTTTCTATTAAACGTATTTTTCAATTTATATATAATGGTTGCTACACAATATTAATATTATTATTGTTATTAAATGGTGCCTATGGTTAGGGGATTAAGGGGTTGTTTGTTTGGCTCTGAATGGAACCATTCAACGCTGAATGTTGAACGGTTCAACATTCAGCGTGTTTGTTTCTCACCTCTGAATGATTCAGTGCTGACTGATTCAACAAAACAGTGATGAATGATTCAACATCAAAGTACATTCTGAATGATTCAGAGCCATTATCAAACAACATATCACATTCAGAGATAATTCATACAGTGCCTCTGAATCATTCAGCATTTGAATCATTCAGCGCTTAATCATTCTGAAGTAAATAAATAATCTCTAAGTCGAGGATTAGGGTTGTTACCAACCGGACAAGGAAGAAATTCCAAGAATGTGTTTTATATAAACTAGATACAATTTTGTCAAGAATGATTCTAGAACACTTTGACTATTCCATTATTAAGATAATTATGTGTCACGTGTTATATTCTTATAATATTTTATAGAATTGAAATAATATACATCACAAATGGGGAAAATTTAGAGATGAAACTGAATTAAAAAGAATCCTTGATACCAGAATGTTAATATATATAAACATGTTTGGCATGATAACAATTTTTTGTGTGCTTAGAGATAAGTATGTGTCGGGTTAAGCAGAGTTGGATTTTTATCAGTTTAAGTATTACTCTTATCTACTTATTATATAATTCGACTCAATTTTAGGGAAATTTCATCTGATCTGATCCTGTTTTAGGGTAAAACTCATTCTATTCAATTCAATTCATCCCGACATAGATATACATATATACTTTTATTCGGTAGAATAGAGACTTAATTGGAAAAATGTAGATAAGAGTTTTATTATTATAATTATCTTAAATATATAAAGAATAACTTTTTTATAATTTTAAATAATTTTATAAGATCAATATATGAGATCTAGAACGTATAATCATCCCTACAAAAGCAAAAAAAAAAAAAGTTAATTGTCTGCCTCTAAATCCACGCCATCAATTACATTTAATTGGCAATGTTCGATTATAATAACAACGAGTTCAATTAGATGGCAAAATATATAGTTACTTAGCAATGCCAACTAAATGATATACTGATATGCTCAAATAAATAATAAATATTTTTTTTGAAGAATTAAAAAGAAAACTAAAATAGCACATGTTAAGCATTTTAAACCAGTTTATAGAATTTCTTTTTTATTCTAATGGCAATGTACACCATAATTATCCATCTTATTGATGATTAGTTTTTTAAATTTCATGAACGAAATGAGTTCTAAAATATTTTATAATAATTTAAATTTATAATTATAATTATATATAAAGTAAATTACACGAAACATCGGAATTCTCGACCCTTAATCATCAATGTATTATCGACAATCTCTTTAACGTTTTTTAATGTTTTTTTTATCTTATTTATCCGCTTGTAAAATATAACAAAGGGTAAATTACAAAATTACATCTCAATTTTCTTCTTAACTCCTATTTTGGCCAATAAAATTTAAAAATTACTAATTTACTCATTGAACTTTCGATTTGTTCTTATTTTACCATTCAGGTGTTAAATCATAAATGGAATGGTGACATGGAAGTAGTATATTCTAATATAGACTGCTTTAAATTGACATGTAATTCATGTGTCATTCATGTTAGTTTTAATTTTTTTCTATTTTATTTTCTTTCTTTCGAAGATGAAAGTTTTATAAATTCATCCATGTGTCACGTTGGTGATGTAATTACATCCTATGACATCTTCTTTAACCCCTAAAGATATCGATGAATACATCTTATCATCTTCTTTAACCCATACACGTATGTCATCTGTTCAGCTTGATATGGGTTCATTCATTCTTCATTACTTATTAGCCTTTTTCTCTTCCTCAAAGCCTTTGTTAGTTTATCAGTTTGGGATGCTTTTTTTTTTCAATTTCTTTTCCAGATTAGCCCATATTTTAAATCTATGCAAGGAAGTCCTTCATTCATTCTTCATCCCTTATTAGCCTTCTTCTCTTCCTCTAAGCCTTTGCTACTTTATTGGTTTCCGGAGTTTTTTTTACCCATTTTTGTCTTTTTGCTTTCAATAAACGACTAATCAATTGAGCTTCAACTTATTATATTGGGTTTGGAAATGACATAGTACTATGTTAATCTTGGGGGACGATCGTCCGTTTTACGATTACATCGTTCGGGACGAATTCACTTTTAAGACGGTGGACTACCCACGACGTAATAACATCTTCTACTTGTTCGTTTTCTTATCTTGTATTTATCAGTGTTAATTTGCCTGATTTACAATACTTAATATATCAAATACTAATAATTATAAAAATAATTAAATAATATTCTTAAAACATTCCCAAAATTTAAATCACATCATATTTAAAAAATATTTAAACATTTAGAAATGTCAATATCTAATCAATGTGAGATTTACGTTTATCGTTAGGTCGTTTGGTCAAGGAGGTTGAGTTTCTAGATTCAGTGTATAGGGGCAAGTTCAAAGAACATGAATGTTTCATGAAATTGGATTAGGGTTTTTGGCAAGTTTTCATGTGTTATTTGTTCAATCATTGATGCTGTTGTATGCATGAGAAGATGATATGGTTTGGCTTGGCACCTTAATGTTCCTTATTTGTCAAGCAAGGTAACCGGCGTCTTGCCTACCATCAACTATTGCTAACTTAGACCTTATCATATCACTTATATTTTTTTAACTACAATATTTGATCTATTGATTGATTAACTTATATTAAATATTATAAAGAATATTATAAGAGGTTATTAATTCAAATGATTATGAATTTTAGATAATGGCAAAACTATGGTAAATATTAAGAATAATTAAATTATTTAACATCAAAAGAATAAAGATTTATTAAGTATTTAAATTTTAAAAAAAAAGATAAAAACTTTATTTGATTAATATTTAAAACTAAAAGAATTAAAATGATATTATATAAAAAAAAAAATTGAGCGGCCATAGCCCCTCTAAATCCCTTAATAAATAACTGTTTCAAGATAAAATATTAGTATTGATAATGGTAAATTATTATAACAAATAAATAAATAAAATAATATAAATTATTATGTCGTAGTAGAAGTTATTGTATTATAAGTACCTTCGTCCAATTGGTGTAATTTTAAAAGTGGACGTTGTCCCATGAGATTAACACAATCTTCCAAAATTATCTTCACTATTCACATTACTCATAATATATATATATATATATATATATATATATAAAACATAATTTATATTTAGATATGTATCTAATATAAATGTTTTTTTTTCTTCTTGAAATATAATTAATCCTTTTCATAAAATCTTTAGTTAGAATTATTTTAAAAGAGCAAAAAGCGAACCCATTAACAAAAGCTCTCTGTTCTTACTTGCATGTAGGCTAAAGCCCAATAAATATACAATTCCTGACTTGGGCCTTCCCAAATGTTGACATTGATAGTAAAATATTAAGTTTTTTTTTTATTTTAATTATATTACCTTTCAAATAAAATAAAATATATTAATTATATATAAATATTTGATCAAGTTAAATAAATTAAAAAAATAAATTAGTTATGAAGATGAGTCATATTTTAGTATTCAAATTAATTTTTTTTCTAAGTTGAACCGAATTTATAAAATTTAAATCAAGTTAAATTTAAAATATTTATTCAAATTGTTTTTTAATATAGATTTTTGTTAAAAATTTAACTAAATTTCAAGTTAAAACACATAAATTAAACAGTATATATACAAAAACTTCTTTCAAAGGAAAAATAAAATAAAACAAGAGGAATAAGTATGATAAACTCTTCATATAACTTAAATTGTTTTGAATTTTTTTTAAAAAAAATATCAATATTATATAATTTTATAATTTTTATATTTTAAAACTTATAGAAAGGCTTTTTTTATATATGTTGAAAATTTGAAGATTGTTGTGATTTTTTGTTTTGAGTGTTAATTTGTTCATTTCCGAATTTGGCATGATCTAAAACGTATTTATATTAGTTTGTTAATCAATTTTGAAAATCAAAAAAATTATTTATTAAATTAAATAATTTAATTTAATTAACTCAATTTTTTCCAAATTGAATAAGTTTTACTTACTTTATTCTTAAGGTACGTTCGATCTGTAAAAAAAATATCATTATCTACTTTTGGTTTGCTGTCATATTACCAACTGTTTCGTTTTTTGTTAAAATTTTAAAAGTTTTATCCTATTACTTAGTTATTTGTAGTTTTTATAATTTGTGACAAAATTACTTTTAAAATAATGATTTTTTATGTTATTTTACTTATAATTTTTTTTATTTAAGTTAGGGTTGACGTTTGTTACTTAAGTTGTATAGAATGTCGTATGGCGTTAATTTATTGATTTTAATTTTGGGTATTTTTTTTGTTTTCGTTATTGTGGTTAAGTTTTAATTTGATCGACTTATGAAAGAATTTTTAATGAGATCTTATTTACTTTTAAAATATATAAAAAATCCATTTACAATACCGAAAATCCCCCTCCCCCAAAAAAAAATCAACATTTCTTTGTAGTAAAATCAATATAAAACCGAAAAGTAAGTTTCTTTGGTCAAAAATGTATGCAGACTTTGTGAACACAGAGGAAATCAGAGTGAACAATCAAAGAAACAAAATAGAGAATAGCAATGGGTGAAATAGCAGCAGCAGAGTCTAGTCTAGGCGTGTAATGTATTTCCCCAAGAAACCTCATATAAAATACTATTATTATTGACATTTTTCCCCATTAATTTATTCACAACTCATATGAAGGCTACACATCTTTCTAGAACTTTGACCAAAGATTATTAGAGTTGAAGAAAGATAAGCCCTTTGCTTGCAGCTTTCGGCTTTCTTTCTTTCCTTCTTTGTTGAATCCTCTTTAAAAAATCTCTTAACCTTAAACAAAGCTTCAAACTTTCTTTATTAATCCTAATAAAATCAACATAATCCGTACTCAGCAACATAAAGAAACAAAGTAAAAGCATTTTTCTTTATATAACTCTCTCTCTCTCTCTCTCTCTATTTGTCTCTGTCAGCCTGCCCCCTGCCCCAATTGTCGAAATCCATCCCTTCTACTCCATTAACCTCACCAGACCCCTCTTATCGTTTCTGGGTAAGTTTCCTTTTCTTCTCTTGTTTGCATTTTGTTGAAGTTATAACCATTTTTCTTTAGATGTTCTTGCTCTCTCTGCCTTGAATTTGGAGATCCCTTTGTTGGCTTTGTTGGGTTTAGATCAGGGCTGATTGTTTTAGCATTTTGGCCTTCTTTTTTCTGGGTTTGCTTTCATTGTTTATTATGGTAAAGTGAAAAGATGAACAGCTGGGATTTGTAGCTCTTGTTAAATTGTTGGTGAGATTGTGATTTTAGCTTATTTGATAAAGCTTAACACTTTTCTTTGATTCTAACCTTCCATGGGAAATTTGGGGTTGAAGCTTCATAAAACATGTAAAGGTTGGTGTCTTGATTGTTTGTGTTAATGTTGAGTTCAGATATGAGCATTCATGTATGGTGTATTAGTTGTTCATGTGTAAAGTGACCTGTAATTTGATCACTGATTTGCTGTTTTAAATACGAGTTGCAATCGAATCTAACATGCTATATAACCTATGCTTCCCCTTGTTTGAATGCTTTGTCGATCTAATCCATGTATCTAGTACTAGAAATTTGCTATTATTTGTGGCCTTGAACTTGTTTTAAAGTATGGAGGAAGCCAGGATCGAACATCAGGAGGGTTCAAATTGCTAAACTTAAAAAATATAAGGGTTTATTAAGTATTTCAAATAAAAATTGTGGGGGGGGGGGTGGATGCCTGAAAGTTTCTGAAGAGCATTCAAGTGATTTCTTGATTTTTTTACTTGAGGTCTCTTGTAAGAGGACAGCTCTAACTATTGTTGGCTTTCTGCTTAGGTCTGCTTAAATACGTGATCGTACAAATGCTGTGGGTGGCAAGTACAAATAAGAAGCCGTTTTGATATTGATTCATGCATCTTCTATGCTGTCAACTTTCTACACAATATGGGCTTACTTTGCAGCAAGAACCGCCACTATGCAGAAGCGGATATTGAGGAGAATGCACAGGTGGACCTCAGTTTATATACATCAACTGTCACCCTTTTACGGATTAGAATTGGGCGAACTATCTTGATATAGCTTTGTTTATATAATATGTAGGTCTTGTTTGATTTATAGTTTGTACTTTTGCAGGCTGCTGAAATCGAAAGGAGAATCGAACAAGAAACAAAGGCTGAAAAGCATATCCAGAAGCTTCTACTTCTTGGTGCGTACAACTTAGACTGTTTTGCTTTATATAGTTTGACTGTTAAATTCTCATTCTTAACGGTTAAGGACATTGAAATGGAATCATCCGTAGCCGTAGGTTTATTTTCCTCAGTATCCAAATTTACGGGAATGAAACGATTATAATTAATGTCATGTGCTTTGTGTATGGAAAATAATCTCTCTTAGTTGGCGTCCTTGGGGACTTGGATATGGCATATTGGTGTTGTAATTAATTGTTTTTATTCATGACCTGTGTTGCGCAATTTTTTTATAACCGAGATCCATGAATGATTTAAATTATTTTGTTTTTAAGGTGCTGGTGAATCAGGGAAGTCGACAATTTTTAAGCAGGTAAGACAAATTGTCAGCCTTTTGTCTACTTTTATCGAATATGTGTAACTTTGTTACATTCTACATGACTTGTCTGCAGATAAAGCTTCTTTTCCAAACCGGCTTTGACGAGGCAGAGCTAAAGAGCTATGTATCAGTCATCGATGCCAATATCTATCAGACTATAAAAGTACGGAAAACCTGAAAAAGGGTGTGTTGGTTATTTCCCTTTTGTATAAGATAAATATATAATGGTGCCCGGTGTTGGTTATCTGTGATGAGAAGGTTACTTTCTGTTATGAGAACGATTTTTATCCACGCTTTGAATTGTGCTTTACATGACTCAACAGATTCTATATGATGGATCGAAGGAATTTGCTCATAATGATGTCAATTCTTCCAAATATGTTTTATCCAGTGAAAATAAGGTCTGCATTCTGATTGGTTTCTTTTCTTTTTCAAATAAATCAACTTTTGATCCGTGTTCAAGACATTATATAATCGTGTTCTTTTTCAGGTTATTGGAGAGAAACTATCGGAAATTGGAAGCAGGTTGGATTACCCACGTCTAAATAGAGAACTCGCAGAGGAGATAGGAGAGCTATGGAAAGATTCTGCAATTCAAGTAATCACTGTCTATGAACGATATAAAGCTAATTTTACTTATCTCTGTCACATATTCGACGTTAGGAGGTTGTTGTTGACTGTGGATTTTAATACTGATTCACTCCATATGCACTTTTAGGAGACGTATGCTCGCGGTATTGAGCTTCAAGTTCCCGATTGTACTCATTATTTCATGGAAAATTTGCAAAGATTGTCGGATGCAAATTATGTCCCAACAAAGGTATTTAGAATTCAGAATTCTTGAAGAATGTTGGAGTGGTGCAGGAACATGTCCTGCTCACATAAGATGAGCATGCACGAATCATGATGCAACGAACATTGAAAATTATTTTTTTGTCCGGATCTATATTTCTTTTATTTAAACATATAAGCTGTCGGTCGACATGGCATTATTGTCAGTTTTCTAATCTGTTTGTATTGCAGGAGGATGTTCTATATGCAAGAGTTCGTACAACTGGTGTTGTCGAAATCCAGTTCAGGTGAAAAATCTAATCCCTCCTTTGCCTCTGCAAATACTGAGAAGTCGGCATTCATTCGTGACATGATCTTTGCTCATTGTAACTTTAATCAGATGGCATAAATCGATGGTTAGACCTTAGATACTGGATATTAACTCGTGTTGCTTATCACCTCTGATCTGCAGCCCTGTAGGGGAGAATAAGAAAAGCGGTGAAGTATACAGACTCTTTGATGTGGGAGGCCAGAGAAACGAGAGAAGGAAATGGATCCATCTCTTCGAGGGAGTTACAGCTGTGATATTTTGTGCTGCTATTAACGAGTATGATCCTTTTTCCGGTTTTTTCCATCAGCAAAGTCGTGTTGTCTGTCTGCACGTCGAAATTTTAGCCTCATAATCCTTGCCGTTCTAGGTATGATCAAACTCTTTTCGAGGATGAACAGAAGAACCGGATGATGGAGACAAAAGAACTCTTCGACTGGGTCTTAAAGCAACCATGCTTCGAGGTTTTCTTCATATTATATATACATACAAACATACATTTACAGAAGAACCCGGATTTATCTTGATTTTTATGATTCTGTGCAGAAAACGTCATTTATGTTGTTTCTCAACAAATTTGACATATTCGAAAAGAAGGTTCTAAAGGTGAGTCCATCGGAACAGTAGAACATTTTCCGGATGTTGAAAGCTTAGCATTACCACAGACTGTGATATGTTCTAAATTCTGTAGGTTCCATTAAATGTATGCGAGTGGTTCAAAGACTACCAACCAGTTTCAGCCGGAAAACAAGAGATTGAGCATGCATTCGAGTGAGCGTTTTTCTCCTAACGCCGGGAATTAATTGATTTTAATCCTCTTGACAAAGTTTTTTCTCCAGGTTTATAAAGAAGAAATTCGAGGAGTTGTATTTCCAAAGCACAGCCCCCGATCGAGTGGATCGAGTCTTTAAGGTCTACAGAACCACTGCCCTGGACCAGAAGGTGGTGAAGAAAACGTTCAAGCTGGTGGACGAGACGTTAAGACGGAGGAATCTGTTGGAAGCGGGGTTGCTGTGAGTGCAAAGAATGGCTATAATGTGATCAGATTTTGGAGGTTGGGGGATTATACCATATTTACATCACGGGCTGAAGTTTTGGGTTATTTTTGCCATTTATCTGCTTTGTTTTGAATCTACGTGATTCTGGACTATGGGCTTGTTCAGAGGAACAAAGGAACTATATATTCTTTCTATCCTGCTATAATACCCATTGTTGTCTACAACGGTTAATACGATCACCGACTGAATTAAATTATAATTAGTTAAAATTGAATTTATTTTTTTCTTCAACCTATTATTTTTAAGAGAAAATCGCCTCAGTGACCAAAAATACCTTATAATATACGATTTTAACCAACTTTTTTTGGATTTGCCAAAATGACCAATAAAATCGCAACGCGATTTAGAAAATCGCAACGTTAAAAAGAAAATCGCAACGGTCAAAAGAAAATCGCAACGCGAGCTTCCAAGTTCGCAACGCGAGCTTCCAAGTTCGCAACGCGATTTAGAAGAAAATCGCAATGCGATTGATAGAATCGCAATGCGATTGAGAGAGTCGCAACGCGATCTAGAAGAAAATCGCAATGCGACTGAGAGAATCGCAATGCGACTGAGAGAATCGCAATGCGATTTATAGAATCGCAACGTAAAAAAGAAAATCGCAACGTTAAAAAGAAAATCGCAACGGTCAAAAGAATAGTTAAAAAAAATTTGTTTCTTAAGAATTTTCTCTAAAAAGATAGTATCCGCGCGGACGTGTCGAAGACACGTATTACCATTACCATTACCACGACCACGACCACGACCACGACCACGACCACGACCCGACCCGAGACGAGACGGCGGCGGCGGCGGCGCGCGAGAGTCCCCCTTGTCCTCTTTCACTCAACAAGGAAGTGCAAAATACAAGCCTTAAATATAATTCCCAATAGTGTTTCCAATACTATGTGGGATTGAGCATTACCAACACTTGTTCCCAATATCATTATTCTTCAAAAGTTATCATCCATTACAATATGAATTATCGATAATAAATTAATTCATTTTAATAAGTATTTAAAATTATAACTTGATAAATACATGAAATAATTCTATTATTAAATAAAAAATATATTTTTTATATTAAAATTATTGAGATAGATATTTACTATAAAAGTAAAAGATTTTTTTTTCACGTACAACCTCTATGTGAATTAGTTTCACAATAAGGTATCGGTTATGCATTGGATTCTTTCGTATTAGATGGTCTTTAATAAGATCATCATCATCATTCTTTTGTTCAACAATACCATATATTAATGAGGTATATTGGTTCATTAACACGACTAATTCATATTGTAATGGATGATAACTTATGAAGAATAATGATATTTGGAACAAGTGTTGGTAATGCTCAATCCCACATAGTATTGGAAATACTATTGGGAATGGTATTTAAGGCTTGTATTTTGCACTTCCTTGTTGAGTGAAAGAGGACAAGGGGGACTCTCGCGCGCCGCCGCCGCCGCCGTCTCGTCTCGGGTCGTGGTCGTGGTCGTGGTCGTGGTCGTGGTCGTGGTCGTGGTCGTGGTCGTGGTCGTGGTCGTGGTCGTGGTCGTGGTCGTGGTCGTGGTAATACGTGTCTTCGACACGTCCGCGCGGATACTATCTTTTTAGAGAAAATTCTTAAGAAACAAAATTTTTTTAACTATTCTTTTGACCGTTGCGATTTTCTTTTTAACGTTGCGATTTTCTAAATCGCGTTGCGATTTTTATATCGCGTTGCGATTTTATTGGTCATTTTGGCAAATCCAAAAAAAATTGGTTAAAATCGTATATTATAAGGTATTTTTGGTCACTGAGGCGATTTTCTCTATTTTTAATTATTAGTTGAACCAAACAAAGTTTGATTAATTTTTAAATTAATTGAAATTTTTTGTAGTTTTTTAGTTAGATTAATTAGCGCATGATAGTGGTATTATTTTTGAGGTTAAATTTTGATCGAGTCCTGTGTTTAATAAATCTAGTGTGATTAAAAAATGATAGTTTTATTTCTTAAAATATATAAATATTTAAATAATATTAAAAATTTGAATTCTGATATTATATATAAATAAAAACAGACTGAAATAAAAAAAATAGCATGGTAACAATTATCGACATTGAAGTAGATTTGACTTCGAATTAATTATTTATTAATATAATAAGATGATGTATTAAATTTTGTAAATAATATTAATATTATAAGTTAAAGAAATTGTCTTTATAGTAGATATTTATAATTTCATATTTAAATTAATTGGTCAGTAGATTTAAATCATATGAATATTTTTTAAAAGTTAATCTTATAAGTTACTTGATTGTTAGAGTAGAGTATGCGGTGATCTGCCTGGAAAGAATGAACCAAAAGGTTCAAGTTTCGGGAGACAAAACATAGACACTTTGATGACTCCCACCAACCACCTCTTCGTGTTTAACAACAATTAATTTCTTACATTATAATTATATTAAATTCCATTCAATTTGTTTGACCCGAGACTCATCTTAGCTGTAAAGATCATTTTTAATAAAATAAATATTATAAGTTGATGTGTTGTTCTAGATGATACATCTTTTCCAGACCCCATCTATGCTCGTTAAATTAGATCTCCCCAATAATATTGAACATTTCGTATTTTTGATGCGTCTTATGGGCGTTTTCGTGAAACATAATATCATTTGTTTTAGATGAAAAATTAATCACTCTATTATCTTATATTAAAAAAAACATTTTGTCTCAAAATATTATCTGATCAATTTTAAAAAATAATGTTCATATATATATATAATTATGTGTCTATAATACGAGTCAATATAAATACAGATCAATTCAGAAAATGTCAATATACATATATAAGATTTAATTTAATCATAATAAAAAAATATAAAAACATTGTTACACTCATAAAAAATAATATTTAACCGATAATTAGTACATTGATTGCAACTTAGGAAAAGATTAGACAAAAGTGGAGACAAAGATCTTATCCAATCTCTTCCTTCCCTCCCTAACACATAGATATTTAAATTTAAATTAAAAAAAGGTTAAGCGCGTGGTCCCACAAATATGGATAAGACTTACCGGATCCAGAGAGGCAAGAGACCCTCCGTCAAGCCACGTCATACATATCCACCGCATTGTCTCCTTACATTGTTCCACGTGGCACTCAATTCACCAATAATCCTCCCCTCCATTTAAACTAAATGCGGTTAATTGTTTTGGACTCCTGGTTTTATCACCAATACCTTTTGGGTCAAATCTTAGTTCTGGTCCTTATACGATTCTCTAATTCGAGATTTCGTCATCGTACAGGATTAAATATAATTCCAAGTATAGTGGATGTACCAAAATCAAATTTGACCATTCCCTTTTCACTTTATGGTTAGGTATCTCCTTTACGGTTGCTCCCAAAAGACTTAATTAATAATTAATTTAATAAAACTAAAAACCTTAACGTTTATTATCCCCCCCTATATATATATATATTACTTTTTAATGGTATCAAATAATCATACGGTTTGTACCAATAATAATAATAATAATACAGTAATAATATTTTTTATATTATATTTTTTAATAAATTCAAGGTAGATAAAAAGTAGTATCTATTTAAAAAAAAATTAAATATTTGATAATGAACACTTATATCCTATATATGTAATCCTTAAATTCGAGATTTTAAAAGATAATAATAAATCTCTTAACATTATTTAGTGAAATAATTTTTAAAAATTATAAAATAATCACTAATTTATAAAATAATCATTACATTTTATTAAACTATTATTCTAAATGATCATAAAATTTTATCAAATTAATATGTAATGATGGTTAAATTTATCAAACTTATATACTTATTAGATGTAATAATTATTTTATAATAATTTAATACATTTAATGACAATTTAGTATAATTAGGTAACTTCTATTATACTTGAAGGATGAACATGAGACTTAGGACCGACAAATTCTGACATAACGTTATTTTGTAAAGCCAAGTTTTTTTTAATTGAGTTTAAATCGGATAGAATTCAATTTTATAATAAAAATATTTAAATTGCTTCTATTTAATTAACTATCTCTTATATATTTAAAAATTATTATGATAATATTTCACTTTCTATACTTTTTAATTAAATATTTATTTTATTAAATAAAAAAATTATATATATTTATTTAAATTATAAATAAAATTTTATTTTAAAATTGAATCAAATTTCAAAAGAGAAAATAACCTCAGTGACCAAAAATGCCTTATAATATACGATTTTAACCAACTTTTTTTGGATTTGCCAAAATGACCAACTAAATCGCAATGTGATCGATAATTCGCAACGCGATCTCCGGTATCGCAAATCAGTTTCCAGATTCGCAACGCGATTCTGACTATCGCATTGCGATTTCCCAAATTCGCGTTGCGATTTACGTATTCGCATTCATTTTCCTAATTCGCAATGCGAATACATAAATCGCAACGCGAATACGTAAATCGCAATGCGAATACGTAAATTGCAACGCGATTAAGTAAATCGCAATGCGAATTAGGAAAATCGCAATGCGATTTACATAGCGCCGTTCGTATTAACGCGTATTTTTTTTTTCAAATTCCAAACACGATTTTTTTCTTAATATATCGAAAACTGAACCGTCCACAGTAATCGCAACTCATAACCTCAAACCTAAAATCACAACACTCAGTCACATCTCCATCTCTCACTCTCTACGGCGAAATCCGTCCCCATCTTCGAAGATTTCCATCCCCATCGCCGGCGAAATCCCTCACAACCATTCACGGTCAGAAATCCCTCACAATCATTCAGAAATGGAAAATCAACCTCCGAGGCTTAGTTTTTTTAATTATTTTTATTTTGAAATTTTTGCATTATTTTAGGTTTTTCATATTGAAATTGATGATAAGTTTACTGGTAATTTCAATAATAGATTAACCATTTCACTTAGATTTCTTATTAAATTCATTCGATTGCTGTCAATACTGCTAA